GACAAGCATGTTCATCCTTGGTTTAATTGGTTTGGTGTGCCCCTGTTACATGCCCAGTTGGGCAATGTATGTAAAGCCAAGGATCTGCAATGTGATGAAAAGGACTGAATGGGCAATGCAGTGCTAAAGGAATCTCAACAACCAGTGTACATCCTGATACATATAAGAATGGCACATAATAGCGCAGTGGAAGACTTAGATATAAGACCTGACCTGACCGGGACTGACCTCTCTCACGTAGTACAAGACAACGCAGCGGAATGTGGGGGCCTCCCCATCCCCGACCAAGCCAATCAATCAATCAATCAATCAATCAATCAATATAAGAAAATTGATCGTTTGATTCGGACCTACAGATTGCGATCTGTTCATCCATGGCTGGAGGTGGGCACCACCGATGTTCACTCATTCATACAGCCAATCAATCAATCAATCCTTCAACCGATCAATCGATCGTTCGGTAATTCGATCAACCAATCAAACAATAAATCAATCAATCAATCAACCAATCCGTCAATCAATCGTTCAGTCAGTCAATCAATCAGTTAATCAATCTGTCAATCAGTCGATTGGTCAATTGATCAATTAAACAATCAATCAAGTAATCAATCTGTCAATCAATCGATTGGTCAATTGATCAATCAAACAATCAATCAAGTAATCAATCAGTCGATCCGATCACTCAATCAATCAACCCACCACTTAACCAGACAATCAATCAATGAACTAATCAACCAATCAACCGACGACTATCAGGCAATCTATCAATCAATCTTGGATGATCGGTTGGTTGAATGTTCGAATGATTGATTGACTGTTCAACCGGGTGATTGATTGTTGGGTTGTTGTTTGTTTGATTGTCGTACAGGTCTGTTTTCACACTTCTCGCGGTTGGATTCGTCCACCACTGAGGGGAGCATACGACCTCGGATAGCACTTTCCCTCCTCTTTTTTGCGTGTTTGGGTAGAGGCTTCGAGGGTGGGGTCTTTAGCATGGGCGAGGAGGGTGTGCCGACATGGCGCGGGGAGGGAGGCCAGAGTTCGTACTGAATGAGGAGTTTGAGAACGATTTGAAGGCGAAGCACGTGATTTGGAAATACGTCCAGAAAGGGCAGGTGTTTGTGAGCCCCACGGGAGCAGACCCGAAGGGCAATTGCGAGTTGCGGTGTCGATTGTGTGGCCACCGGTGGGTTGGCAACCAAACCAAGGCAAGTGCACACTTCAATACCACACGCGAGCATGACAGGTGTCCGCACGCGTGTGTATACATAATGAGGGAGTTGCAGCGGGCGGGCGTCGCACTCAAGGGGTCCCTCCCTGTCTACGTGAGGGAGGCGGATAGGGATGGCGAGCTCGATTTTCGAGCATCCCCTTAACTGGAGATTGCCTGGCGTCACGGTATGAGAGCCCCCCCTGGTCCCCGTGCGCGACTTAGCCCGGGGAGGACGGGGGCCACAACGGCTGGACCGAGCAGGTCAGGCAGCGGAGGGACTACGACGTGGAGCAGGCTCCTCCAGAGGAGCGGGCCCGTCTGGAGGAGTGGGCCTCATGATGAGGGCTCGTCGGGGGTGCACAACGAGGGCAGGGGAGATGGTGCAGAGGGCACCATGACGAGACAGTTTGATCCAATGGGGAAGAGGGTGTGTGATCCTTGCGGTGTTGCCGGGCCCACGAGGGCATGCCGTGAGGCGTAGGGATCATCGCGCGCTCCACAGGACGAGCAACAGTGGTGGAGGTCAAGGATGCTACAACGGGCGAGAGATGAGGGCATTCAGGTCCCCGCAGACCTCGAGGAGGGGCTTGCGATTGCCCGTGTGGAGGGTAGACAGGCTCGTCACCAAGTGCTGCACCTGACTCAGACTCGCCTAGATGAATGGGTTCAGCACCTCATTCAGTACGACCTGGATATGACCTACATCCGATTCTTTGTGGACTGCGGTGTGCCATTCAACATCGCCAGATCGGAGTGGTATGTGGCGCTTCATGACGTCTATCTCAGTCAGTTTAGGGGTCCCTACAGGCCGCGTCGGCCACAGTACGAGTTCCTGCGGACGACTCTGTTGTCTATGTTGTACGCAAAGCTCCACGAGCGCTTGAGGTATCACCGTGAGTCGTGGTCTGAGGGGGTCACTTTCATGACTGACGGTTGGTCGACTCAGGCCAACCGCCCTCTCTGCAACTACTTGGTTGCAGGGAGGTTGGGGGCGTCGCTCTACCGGGTGGAGGATATGTTTGGCAGGGAGAGGACCGAGGCAGGTTTGTGCCTCAGATGGAGGGAGCTCATCCTCGAGATCGGTGCAAAGCATGTGGCCATATGCATGGACAACGCGTTAGCCAACAAGGAGGCTTACTGTTTGCTCCGTGGCGACCCCGATGAGCGACTGTGCCGCATCACATGGATTCCTTGTGCAGCTCACTGCTGCAATCTGATGCCGACACACATCGCCAGACAGTCGTGGGTCGCGCAGGTGATTGTAGAGGGACGGGACATCACACTGTTTTTTCGGCGCCATGCACGGGCAGCGTACCTTTTGAGCCGGCAATCGCCAACTGTATCATTGATCCGGTCGGGAGAGACGCAGTATGGGACCAACTACATCATGTTGCAACGCATGGTGACGTTGCATCGGCCTTTGGATGCATGTGTGAGCGGTGTCGCCTGGGCGACGTCCCCGTGGCTCCCTGCATTGAGGGACGGCGCACGCAGGTGCTTCGACCTTCTTCGCGATCCGCGGTGGTGGCAGCAAGTGGAGCTTGTGTGCACTATTATGGAGCCAATTTACGAGCTCCTGCAGCAGGTCGATTCTGACGGGCAGAGAGTCGGCGATGTATGGGGATTGTTGGAGTGCCTGCGGATCACGGTCGACAGACTGACGCTTGATGAGGCTTGTCACATGCCCATCAAGAAGATAGTCACGGAGAGGTCGGATATGCTTTTGACCCCCATTCATTGTGCTGCGTACTTGTTGCACCCCAAGTACCGCAGCATCGACCTTTTGATGCGTGGGACGACAGAGGAGCGCGCTCAAGTACATGGGGAGCCAGATTGAGGGTGGTCGACAAGGCCCGCTGATGACAGTCGTGTGGAGTTCTCTGCAGGACTTTCACGGCAAGTATCCTATACTTGCTCACTGGGGGGGGTACATTGGGGATGCGAGCGTGGAGGAGCCTGACTTTGATCCTGTGCAGTGGTGGAGGGTGCGGGGGGCCAGTCATCGGGTGTTGCGGGACATTGCCATGCGCTGCTTGGGTGCGTGGACCACAGCCTCTCCGTGTGAGAGGAATTTGTCGACGCACGACTTCGTTCACACAAAGAGGCGCAACAGGTTGGGCGTTGAGCCGTTGGAGAAGCTTGTGTTCTGTCATTGGAACCTCAAGCTTCTCAAGAGCAGTCACGCGCGCGGGGGGTTATCGGGGTTAGTCTCCCCGGGGTTGGATTGACCGACGTCGAGAGGAGGCTGAGGATTTTGCACGCTACGAGCCGGACGAGATGGCTCCTGGGACGTATGACCCGGCGGAGATCGAGAGGGAGGCCGACCGCCTCAGGAGACAGCCAAGGGGCAGACGCTTGGTGAGGGCTGCAGCAGCATTAACCCACCAGATTCGTCACCAGGGCGAGGAGGCGGTTCAGGGGGATGACATTATTGATGATGATGTCCCCTGGTTGACGGAGCCTTATCGAGGAGACGGGTTCTTAGAGCGGGAGGCCCCTGTGACTGTGAGCCCTGCAGGTCGCGTGCTCCCGCCATGAGCGGCGAATGATTGTGCAGGTGTCCCTGCCACCACGTTCGCACCGGAGGCAGGCTCCCACAGCCTGCCTGTAGACGATGCAAACGACATTTTCGGCGACATCGATGCAGACAATGCGAGCGCGGGAGGGAATCGCACAGCGAGGGCCGCTTGTGGGTCTGCCCGTGTGGGAGAGGCAGGCACACCTGGAGCCATTGGAGCTGAGCAGGTGTCGCCCACCAGGCACATGCACGATCTTCCTTCCCTCGGTGCACGGCCGTTGGCGTCGGGCGCGGTTGGTGAGACTGGTCCATCGCCATGCACGACGGAGGATGTCGAGGGCACGATGCCCGTCGCTGCCGCTGACAACACAACGCTTGCGCCTGCCACCTTTTCGAGCCCCCATCGTGCAGTGGAGCGCGACTGCGAGGGGAGGATCAGACGACGACCAGGTTTCATCGGTCCGCTAGACTGGTCGGCAACTTCAACCATCCACCCGGACGCAGAGAGAGATTTGGCAGCATACTTGCCGAGACCGTTGTCGGATCTGCCAGGAGAGGACCCGGATGTGCAGGCTAGAGGTGGGGACGGTGGACAGCCTGTTGCCGGGGGGGCTGCTCCTCGTGAGGGAGGCCTAGACAGAGAGGAGCTCGCCCACGACCTGGCGGCTGCCGGGTACTCCACAGAGGAGATCAGGGAGGCGTTGGAGGGGTATCCCAGGCGAGATAGACAAGGCACGCCTCAGCATGGGATGCACGCACGCCAGCGATTGGATGTTGGCCGCACACGCGCCTCCCCGTCGCTCCCGTTGCCACCTCCGGATCCCTCCTTGGCATTGGACATCGCAGGCGCGGGATCGCATGAGGCTCCCGTGACGGACACGCAGGTGGCCGATGGAGAGAGCAGCGGTGTACGGGAGTGCGACTCCCCGGGGACGGGTCTTCGCCATCCAGTTTCACATGCTGGGGTCATCGCTCGGACGGCGATGCCACTCCCACCCAGAGATCCGTCGATTGTCATCGAGTCGCTTCAACCATTCGTTGGTCGCAAGCGGAATGGACATGAGGGCGGGAGAGTTGCGGGTCGAGGCCGAGGGAGAGGCCGACCGCCTGGACGAGGGAGAGGGGAGGGACAAGGCAGGGCTCGAGGAGGTGACGCATCGACACAGAGGACACCTGCAGGTGGGAGAGGGGATCACGCACGGGCACCGCCGCCAGCATCATCGACGGGCGAGGGTGAGGAGGGGATAGCGCAACGCCTCACCAAACGGCGTAGAGCAGATGCACCGACGACGACAGGACCCACACCAGCGTCGTCTTCGGGCTCGATCACGTAAGCTTCGTCTTCGGGCTCGAACACGTCAGCTTCGTCGTCAGGCTCGAGCACGTCAGCTTCGTCAGGTGACCCCGATTTCGATGGGCGAGAGGAGGAGGACGGGTCGGAGGGCGATGCAGAGGTGGACGAGGGAGAGGGGGATGTGTTAGGGTTGCCATGTGATCAGGTCCTCACATGGGGTTGTAACAGGTCAGTAGGGTGTTGAGGATTTTTATGTTGCACACTGTCAGGATGTAGGGCGGGTCAGGAGGGGGTTATGTCGGTCGTTTGACTCACAGGGTCGTAGAGCTCCTCTTTGAGTGGGAGCGGTGCTCGGTGCAGAAACCTTGGTTGTGCATCGATCCGTCAGTTGGTCTGTCTGTCCATCCGTCTGTCCGTTCTCGAAATGTAAACCGTCTGTCAGTCCGTCTGTGTATCAGTGGGTCTCTGTCTGTGTGTTCGCAGGTCAGTTTCTATCTGTCTGCCAGTCTGTTTTTTTTTTTTTTTTTTTTGACAGAACTTCCGTTCCTGGGGAGTCACTTACCGATGGTAGGCTTTTGCTTTTGAAAGCAGAGATGCAGAAGGCAGTTCATCAGGTAGCTTTGAGGCATCAAGGCTTGCACATGGCTTGCTTATCAACTATCATTCCATTGCCAATCGGTTGGCAGAGTTTTCGAGTTCCCTGTATCGGATTTGGAGATTTGTTCCACTACAGACTTGCAAAGCGTTGTCCTTCCCTTATTCTTTTTTTTTTTGTCTTTGAACAAGACCTTTTGGATCTGCCTTCGTTCTATTCTGGGGAGCATCAGTCGGGTCACTTTTGCCCCGACAAGTCATTGTGTTACGGTCCTGGCCAATTTCGAAGTCCACAATCATCAGGAAGTACAATGCTGTCCAATTGCGAAAAGAAATGAATGAACTTGAGTCCAATACAATCCAATTGAAAAGAGAAATGAAAGAACTCGAGAGGAGAGAGAGGGAAAGAAGAAGAAGAAGAAGTAAGAAAGAAGAAGAAGATGATGTACTCCAGCATAGACAAAAGACAAAGCTTTTCTCCTTCGCTCAACAACCTCCTCCTCTTTATCTCCTCCTCTCTTATTCAAACAATAAATAACAACAATAATGTTGAACAGCTGAACCAGAATCAATGTCCGAATCCCACTTCTACTGCGGCTTCAACATGAGGTCCACCATAGCCATGGCCACCTTCTTCTTCCCCCATCCACATGCCTGGGCTATGGTGGACTACTGGGGCCTTGCCCTGATGTCCAAAGGAACACACAAAGCGGCTATGTCGCTGCCTGCTGCTCCGCCATGCCAGACTCTGCCCGAGCTTCCTTGATGCGGCACTACCCCACCGGTGGCCTTCCAGATGCAGTGCCTAACAAGGTGATGAAGATGGTGTTCACCATAGCCGATAAGTACCTCGCCACTCTCCTCTCTCATTCCGTTCTCCCTCCTCCTCCTACCGGTCGAGCTCCACCATAACCGAGGTGGGAGTTCCCGACTTCTACCTCCTTGCTGCGCTCCAGAAGCTAGCGCTCCTCCTCCCAACGCGCCAGCAGCATGATGCCAACTTGTGCACTTGAAGAATGAGGCTGGGCTCTTGCCTCAACCTCTGGATATAGCGGCCTGCTTGCCTCTTGGGCGGTGACTTCCAGGCCGCTCGGCCTCCCAAGTAACTGGTACCTCCTCCGTTTCGGAGGGAAACATCATTGTAGACCCTGATATTGCCCGTACAGGCTCTAGACTCAGACTGGTTGGACTGGTACCGGCCTAGACCTACCCTACCGCTACTGGACTTTAAAAATGCCAACTTTGTCTTCTTCTGCTCGGCCTCCAGTACCCCTGCATGCCAACTGCAGTGGGGTGCGGTATCGGCCTACCGGCCTACTTGAGTGTTTTCCCGCTACCCCAAGGGCCACGGGGCCGCTAGCTTCGCCACTTGAGTGTTTCCCTGGCTGCAACCCTCAATGCCACGGCCACAGGTAAGTATCGGCCCTACGGGCCTGCCAAATGTGCAAGTATCATTCCGAGTCACACACACACTCATGCAGACAAGCACTCAGATAGGCACGCAAGTCCACAGGCACGCACGCACACAGACTTAAGGAACACAGCAGAATGCGGGAATCTCAGCAAGGCATCCATTCCACATGCAAAACTTCAGAAATCAGCAGTGTTCTCAGTCTCTGTTATGACGGGTTATTACAATTGCAAAAAAAACATGAAATGCCCTCTCACACAATGCCTCGTTCCGTCTCTCCGAAGGACCGCTTATCTTTCTAATCTTTGCATTGAGGAATGATTGGTAGTGGAAATGTCTTTCTGTTGTTGTTGTTTTTTGTGTTTTTTTGTTTTGTTTTGTTTTTAAACTTTCAATTTCATCAAAATTGCACGCCCAGTGCCCAAGGCGGTCTGTCGATCCGTTTGTCCATTCTCGAAATGTAAACCGTCTGTCAGTCCGTCTGTGTGTCGGTGGGTCTCTATTTGTGTGTCCGCGGGTCAGTTTCTATCTGTCTGTCAGTCCATGTCAGTCTGTCCGTCTGTCTGTCTGCAATTTTTTTCTGTCTGGCAGTCCGAATCTGTCCGTCTATCTGACCATATCAGCCTGTCTGTCTGTCAGCCTGCCGAAGGTCGGTTGTATGTGTGTGGGGGGGGGGGGGGGGGGGGGGGGGGGGGGGGAGGATTCAATTTTTTTTCTATTTTATGGAAGCACAGGCCCAGAGGCCGATCTCCGCAACGTGACAAGCTGGTTCTCAGCCCAAAAAGAAACAGCGATTTCGCCCGGCGTTCAGCCGAACGCCGGGCCGGAAGGTCGCGAACGTGCGGGCGTTCGGGTTCGGGGGTTCGGCCGTACCTGAACCCCGGCAACCCTTGTCCAGAGTATAAAAAATCCCAAATTTTATAATAATGTTTTTGCCTTAGACATGCTTTGTTGAGATTTTAAAGTTCAAGTTTGTTTTACCGTATTATAAGTTTGTCAGTTTTGCAAGTTGTATAATATATATACATACTTATATATTTTTTAGTTTTCTGCCATATTTGCTGTAATTTTATAATGTAAGTAGGTTTTATTGTCTATCTAAGTGTATCTCCATGTCCTGACTTTGTTATCATGTTCATGTATTAAATATGTTTTAATGTTATGTTTATGTGTTTGGTTGAGGTAAAACAATGAATAAGTATGAAAAGGTTTAAAAAAATCAAACGACAATAAAAGTTATTGGCACGACTATTAATAAAATCAAAATTTCACATAACAATTGGTGAATAGATAAACAGACACCAGTGGAGGAGTTGCATAGTTACACAATTAACATTGTGTACTTTGATTGATCGAATCGACCCATGCATTCCCCACCCCCCTCCGTATACAACCATTGATTTGTCGTTTAATGTAATTAAAGTTTTAAGATTCACACCCAAGTTTACACCAATATATTTTTACGTTCATATATTTGTTTGTGTTTACTCACGCTCTTACTTCTCTATGGTTATGTTGCACAATATCACCCCACGTGGCTCTCTGATGCTCAACAACCCCCAAGGTCATGTTATGCGCTACATTAATATTTTACATAATGCCTTCCTTCTAATCAACAAGGATCATAAAAAAACTCCCTAATTGACAAAGGCCATCCATTGAATTTGTCCGGGTAATTCACAACTTAAAATGAACAGGAAAGAGAGATTGTTATTTTCCATCACAATGTTTTTCCCCCTTTTTATTTTATAATTGAATATTTTTAGTTTAAGAAACGAAAATAAAAAAACTGACATTGAGGTATAATCATCGAGTTCAACGGTTTTATATAATTCAAATATTCGTTTATATAATTTTATAAGGAGTACATCTTGTTGTCTGAAAAATGATATACGATTTTGTGGTCTGGTATTTAAATTATTTTCATCAAACATAAAAATCATGCATTATTTTATATACAGAACTATGTAGGGAAGGGAAAAAAAAAAAAAAAAAAAAAAAAAAAAACGCAATCAATAACACAAAGAGAGAGGAAGAGAGAGAGAGATCCTGCTATCCTGTTAAACAAGTCACTGCTGCAGGAATGAGTGTGTATGCGTGTGTAATGTAAATTATCATTACCATTTTTTTTTTCCACCTTTAATCAATAGATTTAAAATTCAAGTAGCTTTACCTTTATTTCAGACAATGAAACATACAAAAATTAAGTGTATCTGATAATTAAACAATTTTACCTATATAATACATAACAAGAAGCAATATAGATTTGTTATATCCCTTTGTTCGTTATTTTTACTTTGAATTTTATTGGGTCACCTCTTTCTTTATGTTATTGTAACTTCTCATTTATTGTACTCCCAAAGTACAAGGTTTGTCATAATGTTTTCCTTCTCTCTTAGTTTTTTTTTTTTTTTTTTTTT